TCATCCCATTCAGAGAATTCCACATAATCAACATCCTTAGGAGCAGGTTTTTTGCCATTGATAAATCCCGCCATACGTCATCCAGTTATCGTAAGAAGAGCATTATGAGACCAAGAGACATAGTTGAAGCCATCCAATTTTTCTTGAGCAATAAGAGCAGAGTAATCACGATATGTTTGCTCATCCTTGGTACCAAATGAACCGGAGTTGGGTTTGACATCTTCATCACTAGCCATGCTTGTAGAACACACAACAAATTACTGTGGAAACAAATAACACCCTCAAATTTAATTGGGCAAGACACGAACATAGAAAAATTTTCACAGCAAGGTTAGGGTTTCTCACGGGTAGAGGTATTTTGGTTTTGGTGGGCAATCAAGTTCACCACAATTTCAATGCTTTGATACCAAGTCAAATTGTATATGGGCAAATATATATTTATTCCTCTCTGAATGGAGTATATATAGGTTTTCAAGGAGTCCTATACAAGTAAATCAACTATACAAGGAAACAAATAAAATCCCTAATATCGTGCTAATCAAATACAATTGCTATAATCAGCACAAATTGCTACATAAATAAATTTCTTTAAATAAGCAAAAATTGTGACAAAGGCTTTAATTTAGCATCATTCACATAAATATCAAAACTTAAAGATAATGATTGTTACTACAAGAAGGGCGACAATACCGCACCATTCCCATGTATATATTAATATAAGAAGGGTGAGGGTAATCAATCTGCAAAATTCATATTATAATATAAGTTAAGCCACTAATTTCCAATTTTGAATTTTGCATAAAGGAGATATGGTGAGATTTTTGTACAAGTCTTAAGTCACTGACTTTTGTATAGACCTGTGCCATTTAACTTTGAATCAATTATTTTCTTTTCACATGCCATTCATTTCCAATTTATTGCTCATTAGCATTGTTTCCCTTTTTCTTTCTTTTTTTTTTCTTTGTATTTTTTTTTTTTTGGTTTTTGTTGGAATTGGTAAGTGGGAACGGGCTTTGCAAAGCCTTCATTCTCTTCTACAATTCTCTTTCTTTCGTTAACCTTTTGTCCACTATCATGTGATTTTTTTTGACATGTCACTCACTTGGCATGTTCTCTCCTTTTGTGAAACCAGTCACCACCACCTCTCTATCTTCACTTCCCCCATACTTTCTCCATACTTTCATTTCGTGCTTCTCCTTGTCTCCCTTCCAGTGAGGTCTAAAAGAAGTTCAAATGGTTTGAACAACTTCAATGAAAAATGTGCTTTCATCCGAGATTAGGAAGCTGGAGTTTAAAATCTCGTAACACGACTATTGAATTTTCTGTGGAGTTCAAGACATCATCTTCTCCAAGTTAAGGTTGCACCATGTTCATACCTTTCTTTGCTCTTGCTAATAATAAAATACAATCATACAATAATATATATACTTGCTTTAAGAAGATTAGTCATACTAAGGTATGAGGCTAAAAATGAGAAAATTTCTTATCTTTGATGTTCGAACCGACATAAGTGAGATGTAGGTAGTGCTACATACGATATGTGGCGTTGTGCTTTCACTGAAACAAGAGCTTCTCATGCTGAATGTGCTATGAAATTGAAGATATGTGTGCAATGGAATATAAAGTAAATAAAACACAATATTTACAAGGTTCAGCAAGTGTGCCTAGGCTTTCGGGGTAGCAACAGTAATCTCTTTTATTATCAAATAGAAGTTACAAAAGCAATAGAAACAAGAGATTGCATATATTCTTTCTCTATGACATTTGTGAGGTAACATACCTTTATATATGAAAACATAAAGTTCCTTGTGAAGACCAAGAAATGTGAAAGTAGCTCATGCTACACGAGACAAGTAGCACACTTTCAACATTTGTTGGCTAACAAGAAGCAGTGGTCGGTGCTTATTTCCTCATGTGGGTCATCCACTTTTATAATAGTTTTGGGTATTTTTTTGTGTAATTTTATATAAAATCAATTAAATATTATGATATTGACATTATGTCATCCACTTGCAATTCATGCCATTGTCATTTATCACCCCCAACCTTTCCATTTACCTCATTCTAACCCATGCTGCCATAGTTCAATCCCCCAAAAGCCTTAAACCCATTGCCTCCACCACCTTTAACCTCCATTTTTGGCCTCACAACACCAGCCTTGTCAACTTTGTGCCGTTCTGAATGATTTCATAATTTTCCCCTAATTTTGACAAACAATTCGCACTTTCGTTTGAGACACAAATAAGGTATTTTTTTTTCCTCCTATTTTCTTCTTGTTCTTCAATTTTTATGTTTTAGGTTATTTGAATTGTGTTTTTAAGAGATTTGGTATAATTTTGCACACTACGCCTTTTGGTTTTGAATTTGAGCTCATTTGGATGTTAAAATTGGTTTGGGCATATCACAAATTTAGTCTGTTTCAGTATATTTGTTGGCTCTGTATATCTTTATTCATGGTGGTTATGTCATTTTGTCTAATCACCACTCCTCGTGCTCTTTTTCTTAGGTTATGTGCTCCATTTCAAATTCTAAGTTTTGTGAATTCAAACACTGCATTGCAATGTCTGTTTCCTGTTCGTGATTGTACATTGATATTCAAAAGTTTATGTGATTCAGACACTGTTGTTTCCTGCTTTGTGGATTCAAACACTGTTGTTTCCTGCCTTGTGGATTCAAACACTTCGTTGTAGTGTTTATTTCATGTTCTATGCTTTTACATTGATATTCAATTAGATTCAAACATTGCAATGCAGTGACTGCTTCATGTTCTGTGCTTTTACGTTATGGATTCAGACATACAATATTAATATAGCTAACACAAATTTTATATTTTGTTTCTTTTATAGTTGAAACATAAAAGTTAAAGGCAAAAAAATAGAAAGGCATATGGTTGAAAAGTTAAGCACCCGAACCATGCACAATTTAGTTACAACATAACAACCTTTAACACGATTGATCAAGAGGTGAAAGACATCCTTAATAGTAAGAAAATTGACTTGCTAAGGAAAACTCTATTTTGGCCCTTAATAAAGCCAAATACAGTCGCCAAAAATTTCTTGACAAAGTATAGAGCATTGCTGATCCAAAGGCTTCTACACCACTAGAACTGCACTTTGAAGCTTGAAGAATGACTTCATTTGAAAACAATATTGTGTAAATTTCATTAACTTTTTGAATCTGTTAGTCTTTTTGAAGAATGACTTCATTTGATTGTTATTGGTCTAGAGGCTTCTCAGACGATATTGTTAGTCTTTTTGAAGTATGATGATATGTTTCTATGTATGACATCAAGAAGATTATTTGATATCACACTATTGGATATATGGGTAGTTCTAAAAATTAGATGACTTTTTATTGATAATTATCATGTGTTTGTTTATCTGATGCATGTCTTGTTATAGTTTGAATATGAAAATTCCTTAGACAAGACAGAAAATGCAATGCATATTTTAGAATCCAATTTGGCTTTTATATCCAAACAAAATCCAATATTGGATGTGGTTCATCAAAATAGACATTTGAAAAGCAAAGTCTGAATTTAAAGGTAAAAACTAAATTAGAAAACAGACACTATGTTGAAATGTCTAAATCCAAAGGCATAAACAGAAGCACAAAAAGGAAACTGTATTATAGTATCTGAATTTAAATGGTAAAAATAGGATCGGGAAACAGACACTGTAGCACAGTGTTTGAATTCAAAGGAAAAAAGAAGCACAAAATGGACACCACATTGTAGTGTCTGAATTCAAATGAATCTTCTGGGAGGCCGCTTAGTAACTGGAGGGAGCACAACTTGATCTTGATCAATTGAACCATCATCTTCCATTCCTTTGCCAATTGTCTGTACAAGAAAAATCGGATATTCATATACCTTTCGATAAAAATCTGCCTAGAAATAATCTTCAGTGCAATCATAAACACAAGTAGTAATTGATATAAGGGCAGTTAACGCATGTGCACCCAAAAACCCATCAATCTGCCAAAGACAATGAGAACAAGTCTTTGACTCTAAATCAACCATTAGAGACCAATCCCCAATCACTTCCAAAATTGTCGCAGTCGAACGATGAATAGACCAACACCTATCAACCTCTAATGCACCCTTCAAAGTCTTCTCTGTCTCCAGACAAAGAATAGTCTACTTCTCAACTTCCAATTTGTGATTAGCATTTGACACCATCAATTTCTTTCGAATGCCTTCCAACAAGTGCAATACAAGCATCAAAATTCTACCCAACAAACATCAAAGCCGTAGTTAACCGAGAATTCGATGTGAGCTCAAATTTTAGAGCAACAAAATTATCAAATCAAATCCACAACCATAGGCAAAGATAAAATTTTAAAAATTCAAATTTCCATGTAATACAAAATCACAAAACTACATCAGTCCGATGCAAAGAAACAAAGAAGACGCATAAATAATTGAATCATAGAAATATAATCGAAAGAAAAAAACACACATACCTCAATCTACAAAGCTCCATCTATGATTGATCTCCAAACACCACCTAAATCTAAAAATCTTAGAAGATTTCGAATTGTATGCATCAATCGAGCGTCATGCTTGAACTCGGAGTTACAATCACAGAAAAAATTCTATTGCCATTGAAGCTTTGGTGTGTTGAACGCGATGCTTCATGTAAGAAAACTAGAAGTTACCTAATAATTATGTACGCGTAAAAACGTAATTCTATAATGGCTTATAGTGACTTGGGCCTTCTTTATTGTGTTATACCTAAATAATGTAAATAGCCCTAATTAAGTCCAGAAGAAAACTTGTACATTGCTATATGATTAATTAATAAACTTTTTATTGATTTACGGTCAAATTTCCTTTTTCTTTTTTGAGCAAAAGTTTTGAGTATTTAACCCCTCATTTTACCGAATGAGGAAAAAAAAAAAAAAAAAAAAAGCCCATTACCTTCACCCAAACCCGGAAAGTGTCAGATCCAAAGTCCGAGACACAATTTAGACCCACCCAAGTCGTCGTCGACACTCGACAGTATTATCACACGAGAGAACACAAAAGGCGAGCGAGAAGAACGAAAAGAAGCAAACGGGAGCAACTCGAAATCGTGAGCTGAAAAATGGAAGTGGAGGTCGACGAGAAGGAGCTGAAAGCCTCCGGAGCCGAGCCGTTGACCGACGGGCGACACGGCCTCCGCATCCATGGCTGGGAAATCGAGTCCCGCAAGCGCTCCATCCTCAGCTCCTCCAATACCGAATTGTACGCTCTTGATTTCCAATTGGGTTTTCGATAATTACTCTTAATTTCAAGTTTTGCAAGGTTTATGTTGTTTTAGGGATATTTGGTGATGTGGGTTGTTGCAGGTGGGAGCAAAAGCTTCAAACTTGTCACATGCCGGAGATGGTGTTTGGGGACAGTGGATTGTTCCTGAACCATGTGAAGAGCGGCGCCACGATTCACTTCAATGCATTTGATGCTCTGGTGGGGTGGAAGAAGGAAGCTCTGCCGCCGGTTGAAGTTCCTGCTGCGGCTCAATGGAAATTCCGAACGTAAGCACATTGTTCACCATATGCTACTTTTATGTATTTGTATGGGATTTTCTTATTTTTGTTCTTTGGTGGGTAGTTTTGTGGCGCTCAATTGGAAATGTCTACCTCTTTCGGTTTCAAGGATGATTGATGCTTTGGGAGGCCCTTCTTATGATTTGTACCTCTTAAGGGATGAGAGCAAAAAACCCTAAATGGGAATGATAAGTTCAATAGACAGGATCGAAATATATTTCGACTAGTTCTCACTAATTTATGTTGTGATTTAAACTCCAGTTGAATCATGTTGGTCATGAATCTAAATTGTAGGTTTTGGGAGGGAGAGTTTTGGGTATTTTCTATCTTTTCGATAACTTGCTTGAGGGATAGAGTAAGTTGTTTTCTTACTGATAGAGATACAAGTTTTCGGTCTTACATTCTTATTCTGAATTTGCAGTAAACCTTCCCAGCAAGTTATACTGGACTATGATTATACATTCACAACGCCGTATTCTGGAAGTGAAACCGTTAAGTTTGATGCGAACAAGGTGCATATTTTCTCTTTATCTATAATTGAGCATTTTCAAATTTTTTTCTCTGTTTTGTTATAATTTTGTGCCTGAAGTTGGGACTATTCTACAAGTAGTTGGCCAAGTTTCTCCTACACATCGAGCTAAATGAGTACTATTTGTTTAATTTCTATTGCAACTTGCAGTTGCAGTATGGTATAAAACAACCTTTGTATAAAAGAAGGAACTACAGGGCTTCTGAATGGTGCCTTTCCATTATTTGTTTGGTTACGAAATATGCTAGTGATATAACATGTTTAATTGTTATTTTATGTGGCAGCTTGAAAGAGGAGAGATCTCTAAGGAGACTGGAAATCTTCATTGGGAGGACTGCAAAGAAAAAATTGATGTAGTTGCATTGGCTTCGAAAGAGCCTATTCTCTTTTATGACGAGGTGGGTATCCTGGCTGATAACTTTAACATTTATAGGCTGTGCCTGAGCAGACATGTGTGTACCTACATTCTCTTCCTTATATGTATACCTGCCATGACCAAACTCATCCTTGTAACTGAACAGGTGGTTTTGTATGAAGATGAATTGGCTGATAGTGGAGTGTCTCTTTTAACTGTAAAAGTGGTAAGTCATCGATCTCTATTTGTCTGTTGTGTCTTAATCTGCTTTTCCAACGGTATGAGCTTGCTGGAAGGACTTATCATGTTACATTTTGATTTTCTAGAGAGTCATGCCGAGTTCTTGGTTTCTCCTCTTGCGATTTTGGGTGAGTTTAATTTCTCTGAATTGACTTCTGTCCCCCCTAAATGATACTAACCAAACACAGTTTATCAATTTATATTTTGTGTAGATAATCGTTTTGGCACAAGATCTTAATTGGTTACCTCTGGGGATTTAAGAAATATTCTAACTAATTATACTTCGTTGGGATCTTTGTGATAATATCAGTCACCTATTCTTTTATGTTTCCTTAATGCTGTAACTTACTGATTGAGATCTTCTTACAGCTTAGAGTTGATGGGGCACTAATGAGGCTAAGAGACACTCGAATGCATTGTTCTTTTAGCGATGATGCAAATCCCATTATTCTTCGAGAAAGCTGCTGGAGAGAAGCCACATTTCAGGCTTTAGCTGCAGTAAGTTCAAATCTGTTATTGCACACAAATTATGTTACTACCTTTCTTTCTGACACTATCTCACATAAGTTAGTTGTTTTGTTTACTCTCGGGAGTGAAAGAGATGCTTGTGAACCTCACCAACTTCCCAACAATTAAGTTATGTGGCTTATTGAAAATGAAGAGGCGTTTTTGGCTCTTCAAAATTTTAAGGTGTCAACTAAAAAGATCTAAACAAACACCATCCTCTAATATTTCAGTGTATCAAGTAAACTTTTTCTGAATTTGATTTCAGTCTATCCGTTAGGTGGGTTGCTTAAGAAATTCGTCAAGGTTCAATCATTTAGATTCTTCATTGGTAGATGGAGTTTTTTATCATACAATCCTTTCCTGTAGTTTTTGAGCTTCTAACTTGATTAGATTTTGTCACGTGTTCATAAATAGCCAAAAATAAAAGTAATAGTATGAAAGTTTTTAAAAGATTATGCGTAGAAGTTTACTGGAATTTAAAATACAGTATCAGTTTGTATCATGTAGTATTATGAAATTCCGAATTAGGGCTTTTATCCCGTTGACTTATGGATGCAATTGTCTTCATGTCAAGCTTTGTTTTCCACTACGCTAAGAAGCATGGATACGGCAGTTTTGTTGCATATCCCGTATCGGATATTTGATTGTATACGATATGCCTTGTATATGTATCTGTGTCAATAGATACGGTGTTGGCTGACGGATGTAGGTATCCCCATGTCTGACAGCGGCTTCGGGTATCCGTATGTGGAAGGCCTTGTGAAGAAGATCACCAGCAAAGCCCTTTTCAAGACTAAACGTCATCGTTCTGTAGTTGTCCAGGCTTTTTAAATACGACCTGCCGTTCCTTTTTTTATGTATACAAAAACGACACCACATTCTTTCTATTCTTGGGTTTAAATGGGGACTAAAGTCCAACGACCAGAATAAAATCAAATTTTTATCTCACTTAAAAGTACGTTCTAAATATATATATATATATATATATATATTATTTTTTATTTTTTTTTATTAGCCATATCGTGTCCTAGTTTTCAAAAAATTAGTGGTATCGCCATGTCGTGTCGTATTGTAGCATTATATCAGTGCTTCATGGCTACTCGGTGCCTTGTGGTAACAAAAAGGAGTGATTTTTTTTTTTCGTTCAAATAAGTTAATATTTAGGGTCAAAGAGTTTGAATAGCAATGGGAGGAAGTTCGTTTATGGTCTTCACTATGGGCTTTGGTCTCTACAGATTGTAAAGACTTGATATTTTTTTTTTTCAGTTTTTCGGCTTGATTGGAAAGCTGTCTTTTTTAGGGGATTTTTTTTTTGGCTTTCTGTGTGTTTTCTTGTTTTACCCTGTGTTCACTTGTAAGTTTATTGTTGTGGACAATCCAATCTTGTTTCTTTCACTGGTAATTGTCTTCATTTGTGTCGTATCCTATAGACTTGAGATAATTAACTGCTTCTTAACAAACTAACCAATGCCTTTTTCCTCTGAAGGCTATTTGTTTTCCAACAGTTCCTGCTAGTGACTTTTTCATTCTTCCTGTTGGCGCCTTTCTTAGTTTAATGTCTTTCGTAAAGTGTTTTCTTTTCTCATTTCATAATAAAATGGTGCAGAAAGGATACCCTTCTGAAGATTCTGCCTACAATGATCCAAGCATCATCAGCCAAAGGCTTCCTGTGATCATGCATAAGACCCAAAAGCTAAAGGTACCTGGTAATATGTAAGGTTGTAAATTGTCTCCCTGCAAGAGTTATTGTTCCTTTTTTGCTGGGTTCTATTGAATGTAAACTCTTCTTTTAAAATTCACATATTTCCTTACTCTTGTCATGTTTAGTAAGTTCTCTTATTCAGTTAATTTGGAAAAGCAGAGAGAGAAACTTGTACTTTATGTTAAATTCGTCTTACTATCTTTATACAATGCTTCTATTATAATTATGTTGATACCAGAAAGCAAAAGCGATAGCACATGAATTAGCAATATATTTGCAAAATTGGAACTTTGATATGAATCCATTTAGATCTTAGCTTAACCCACAAACAGAATGTCCGCTTACAATTGCTCGCGTTTTTATAGTTCATTAATTCATACTTAGTGAGGAGTTGGAGATAAGCTTTAGTAGAAGCGGAACTAAATGTACTGCAACCACTTAAACTTAACGTAAATGAAGTTCCAAATGATTATCCCATTTTTATTATCATAAGAATAATTGAGAAAGATTATCATAAGAATAATTTTAGCATCATGTCATATTATATTATCATAAGAAATAACTTTAGCACCGTATTATATTTTATACTTGATTAAATATTAATCAAGGGAAATGATTTTCGCACACCCTTTTTTCCCTTCTGCACACCCTCGTTTATTTCTATCCATTGATTGTACTTTGCTTTATTTGATCGAAGGGCCAGAAATAAATATAGGTGTTAATCAGGAGAGGTTGTGCAAATCATTTCTGTTAATCAATTGAGGAAAATGGTATAGGATACCTGATAACTGAGGGAATGCATGTAACTAGTAGGCATCACAAATAGATACTATGTTGTATTTGACATATAATAGTCCCTAGGAAAAGGGAAATTGGGATTTTTTATGTCTTCGTAAGCACCTTTGCTGTATCCAGTAGGATAAACTCCATTGGAAAGGTATCGCTCGGGATCTCATTCTCTCTGCTGTTGGCATGATATCATGTAAGAATTAGTCGTTAGCCATCTAATCGGTTAGAAAAGAAATGTTAGGAACCACATAGAGGCACTGATTTGGGTGGGATTGAGAGAAGTAGCGTACATGTTAAGAGTGAAAGAATTTCCTCATTCTCATGTTAAGAGGGTAAGGGAATAAAGTTGTTTTAGTGCAAGACTCTTATCTTTCAGGTAATTGGATTACAATCTAGGTGTACAGGCTTGACCCTATCTACAAGCTACTGAAACTTCACATGCATGCAAAATTTATCAGGAGTATGTATTTACTTTCAAATTCTCTGATTTTATGATGTTGGTAATATGATTATACTTTGACCTTTCTCAAGACCTCAGGGATGTAGCTTTTGAGAAGTAAAAGCTGGTTGGGTTGTGGTAGCTTTTAGGCTAGAATCTTACACTCAAATAAGAAAAACCATAATAACGTTTGCGCTATATATACAACAAAACTAGAGATTAATTATCAGGAGAAGAATAAACAAACCCCAAAAGAACTCATTGCCATGATATATAATGCTCTTGAGATTATTGCATGTGTCATTGAATAGGAAATAACTTGAATATTACAACATGCCTAAAACAGTAGGAACTTCTCAGTATCTTTCCTGGTTCATTAGGTAGTACACACAGGTGACTCTCCAAGTAGGCCTCTAACCTACGCTAGTTCTGTACTGATAGATGAAATAATTAACACCTCTTCGAAATAGAAGTCATAAAAGGTCGTAGGATGGGTGGATCAGAGTCGGAGGTTTAAGTCAAGCTTGCATGGCTCTGATTGCGGCTCTAATACTTGTGGATCCAAGCGGAAGCTGCCTGGCCACATAGAATCCATTACATCATCCAGTGTGAAAGGCATGATGCTAAACCTTGCATTGGCATCACTAAATCTTGCCACAAGTGAAGTTTCATCTCTGCTTGGCTTGTGCACAAGTGAGTGGGATTGAACGCTGAGTGATCTAACTGTAGAAGTAGCAAAGGGAAAACCCATCATTGACATCATTCTTTGGGACTGGTATCTTCTTGCTGCACCTCTTTCTCTCTTGTGGGCGTTCTGGTGACCTCCTAATGCCTGCGAGCTGAAGAACTTCCTCATGCAGAAGTTACAGGAGAAAACTTTACCGGAATTCGGTCTTGCCTGTGACTCCATCTCTCCTTCTGTTGAAAGGCTACCTAGGCTCAGGTTCAGCCACTCTCCTCGATTAAGATCTTCAGTTTCTTCTCTGTCATCGCTGCTTATCAAAATTGTATTTCGCTCTTTATTTAACATTGTTTCACTTTCTTTTTCTCCCTCGGTGATCATTTCTCAATTTCAAATCAAGTGCGGGCGTCGAAAGGAAGTTTATGACTGGTTGAAGGGTTAGATCAAAGAGGAAGAGAGATGAAGAAATGGAGAGAAGCAGTAGAAGGTAAAGTGGAGAAAGCCTGTGTTTTATTTTATCTCATGTAAATGAAGTGGACCCCACCTTGTGATGCTTTGTGCTCTAGGGGACATTGCTTATGTCATCTACACTGTTGCCCCTGTAAAGCTTAGGATTCTCCACTTTCATCTTCCTCCTTTTCTCTGTTCCTCAAATGGCACCAACTTTATATTTCCTTTTGGAGTAACTGAAGAGTTACAGAGTTGACAGTCCTACAACAATTCATCACTAGTCAAAAACATTATGCTAACCATTTATCTCAAGTGCCTGCCACCATTGCTTCTTATCCACCAACTATACAACTCTTCTTATTCTCAGTAGGAATATGTAGGTTATGGAGCATGAATTGACAAATGAAAAGCCGGTTCTGGAATAATCTGCAGGGGCATCAGCAGTAAATCAGAACTTGACCTTGCTTAGTACTTTTCAAAATGTAGTTGTAGACCTGAGCGTAGCCAAGGTGGTTGGAGCAGTTTGCACAGTCTTTCCTCAAACCCATGTTCGAATCCCTCTTCTCGTAGTTAAGATTAGATTGGAATATCCTATTAGCATGTAGCAGTAACTCAGAACTTCACCTTGCTTAGTTTTCAAAACATAATTGCAGACCTGAGCGTAGCCAAGTTGGTCGGAGCAGTTTCCTCACTCTTTCCTCGAACCCATGTTGGAATCCCTCTTCTCGTAGTTAAGATTAGATTGGAATATCCTATTAGCGTATAGGAGATAAGTTAGTTACCCACCAGAAAATTGCAGTAAGTAGTAAACCCTTTCATGTCAAGTGGGTATGAATGGCATTAAAGATAGAGAACCAACCTACCAGTAAAAATATGCAAATGCTGAGTGGAGATGAGTAAATGATGAGCTTCAGAAAGATGAATGCAGCTAAAAAAATATATATGCTGTCTTGGAAGTGGGGATATAGTTACTCTAGTTTTGATTGCCCATTGGTTTTTAATTTGTGGTGGGGTAGATTTGGGGCCCACAGAATTAGCAATAATGGTTTAAGAAAGTAAGGAAATAGAAAACCGGATAGAGAGGTATCTTGGGTAGCAAAGATTTTTGGTGTTCTCTTTGGGACAATAGTATCCATGTGGATGTGGGTCTCTTCCTGTTGGAACTGGCAGTGGGAGATGCATATAATAGGATTTGGATCCTTTCCTGAGCTAATGGAGAGGATCTTTCTGACCCATCATCATGGACCGTTGAATTTTTATCCAACGACTATAATTATTATAACTTTAAAAGAACTCCCCTATTTGTAGCCGTTGGATAAAAATCTAACAGCCCACGATGATGGGTCAGGAGGATCCTCTCCATTAGCTCAGGAGAGGATCCAAATCCCATATAATATATATGCGCGTGCGCACACACACAGTAGGAGAGAGCCACTCGAATTTAGTCTTTTATTTCTGACATAAATCAAGCACAGGAGTACAAGAGGAACGAGTTTTGTCCCCTTAAATTTCTCACTTTCACACACTAATCACTCATAAAAAGTGATTAAGACATGATTTCTGAGCTTTATTAAAGTGTGTAAGTCTCTCTCTCTCTCTCTCCGTGTTAATGCTGCTGGTAGGAAAGAGAGTTTTGATTAACATAATAAACAAATGTGATGCTGAATTAACGAGTCACGGATAGCCCTCAAGGCTTTTTGAGTCATTCATACATGTTGTGGGTGGATGTTTTGCATTACCAACCGGCATCAAAATCCTTTAAAGACTAGATCTAGGTCAAGGTAGTAGTATATATTTTTTTGGATGAACTGCTAATTTAGTTTTTGAAGTATCATGAGTGAAAATTAGGTCCTTGAACTATTTTTTTCAGAAAAATTAGTCATTGAATTATAAAAATTTACCAATTACATCCCTAATATTATATTCGAAGTTACTATATTCAATTTTTCTCAATTTAAGTCATGTTATTTGCATGTGATACACATTGAATGGTAGATTGATAATTTTGCATAAAGAAATAGTACATGGAGTTAACTTTGGATGATAATTGGAGTTAACTTTGGAGGGTAAATTAGATGTTAGATTTGTAACCTTTAAGAAATGTTGGCTTATAGGCGAGAAAATGATGGTATTACACTCTGAAGTGTGTTAAGTGATTGACAGAAAATTGAATAAAATAGCTTTGAATATGATAGTAGGGATGAAATTAGCAAATTTTAATGAATTTGGAACTTATTTTACTGAAAAAATAATTTAGGGATCTAATTTTCACTAAGATGATAATTTAGGGACTAAATCCGCACTTCATCTTATTTTTTTGTTACGTTGGAGAGAACCGAGCCTGAATCTTAATTCTAACTCATTGTTTCTCACTCTCTAACCTGAATCTATCGGGCTAACCTCAAGGGCTTGTTAGCGGTGTAAAATTCGGGTGTATGTTTCTCCATACAAAAATATTCTCCGTCCTACTTTCACTTGCAAATGGCAAAGAGTGCCCACTTTAGCTTGTCTGTAAAACTTTTAGATATCCCTTTTGGAAGGTGAAAGATGTGTATGGATACCACTTCCATCTCCATGTGAAGCATTTACACATGAAAAGCTAAGAAGATTCAAAGTTTGGCATGATTTTAGTGGATGGTGGGTTGGCTACCTCTATTTCTAACCCAAACAATTGGGAAAACTTAAAAGAATACGAGCAGTTAGTGGAAAGCGAGTGATTCTCCCCTGCGCATATCGATCAGTGTTTAAAATTTCTTCGATAAGATCGATATTTCCATAGAAATATCCAAAAAATCAGAGCAACATATTGAAATGGGGGTGAAGTGTAAGCTTCACCTCATATTAGAGAAACTCTTAAGTTTAGATTAAAATCGACAGATATCGTCAATATTTCTGATACATTTGTTAAATATTGAAGAAACTCTTATATTTCAACAAACCAATGCACATTGCAGTCGAACACCAACGCCATATTAACAGTGTTGTATTGGTATTAACTACATATACTAAATATTGATGAAATATCATTTAAAAATGAATGTCTCTAACATATAGTGTTGATATTCAATTACAATATCGTCGTTTACATTGTTTTGAGGTGATGCACAACCCATGCACACAACCCGCAAGCGCAGATGAGAATTTTGGAGGAAGGAAGGTGAGAAGAGATGAGATTGTGAAAAGTGGTAAAGTTGGGTTCAACTATTTTTGGAAGTCACCTCTTTTGCCAACTTGTCTTCTGAAAACACTTCTCTTGAAGCATTTAAATTATAAAAAAGGAACTTTAACGAAAAGTTCTCAGTACTGTTCACTATAACAAAAAACCACAATTTTACACTAAAAAGTCAATCTTGGTACCATTCACTTTTTCTTTTATTTTGTCTTTATTGTTAAAACTAAAAGTTTTCAAGCCATTTTCTTTAATTTTCCTTTATAAAAAAGCAAAAGCCTACTTTTAGATAATGCATCTTTAGAAATAGAAATATTTTGCACAAAGCCTCCTGCTACTCACAAGCTTATTGAAAGCTATATGCACCAATATGACGAGAAAATACAATCTATCTATTTTGTGCTTAGATGTTTGAAACTTTGAGTAAAGGGCATGGTTGATTAATATTCGATGAAAATATAATGAACAACACTTGCGTCCGTCCCAAGGTGTACTTCTTGTTTAAATCCTAAACCGTAAACTCAACGGTAAAAATAATTAAAATTTTTGGGGCTGCACCACGTAGCGCGTCAGATTTTAAAATTTTGAAAAATTCAACTGCCAGAATTAATCCAACTCTAAAAAATGTATAAAACTATCACAAGAAATTTGAAAAATTAAAAATGCTTACAAAGTTGAACACACTTGCAAATTAAAGATTTAAAATTTGAACACACCAAAAATTTGAACACACTTACAAAGTTGAACACACCAAAAATAATAAAATAAAACACAAAAAGTACTAAAATAAAACATTGCAAATTAACATTTAAGCATGATAATGAGCCTCATTCGTTTCTCCCAAGATATTATCTCCTAATTAATATCTTGGGAATATTATTTTCACATTCATCCAAAGGATGACACGCTTTGGCCAATCGGATGCCGCCATGTGTAGGGCAAAAGCCCTAACTATGGCCAATCACTCCTCCTTGTAAATACCTCATCTCCACCAAATTCCTAGTAAGCTTTTGCGATGTAGACAAGCACTAAACACTTAGACATCAGAGATCCATTTGCCAAACCCTCTCCCCAGCTTGTAGGCATGTGAGGCTTTGGTCTTTGATTAAATATGTTAATTGTTTTGTAGGTACAAATTCATCAAGACTGAAGATGGCGGATTTCTACTACCACAATTATGTTATGGAGGATGATGCACGTCATCATGATGCCTCGAAGTGCCCCATCATTCCATAGTCGAGCAAACCCTCTATTGATTGCCCAACGAGCTTGGAGTATATCAAAGCACCTCTTCACATCCTTCATGTACCCATTTTGCTTTGCTACAAAGTGTTTTTCCTTCGCTGGGTGTGGATTTGGCATGGTCGACAAAGGTGGACCATGAGGGATAAATTCCATCGGCTAGACAGTACACCCCTAAATTGTGAAGTCTAGTTTTATTGTTTGGCTTCCCTTGTCAAATGTTGTAAACTATACCATACATGCTCTAGTTAGTTTTAGGGTTTTAATTGCTTCTCTGAGATCATGCTACTGGAAATATCACTTCAAGAGCTTAATTTCTCTCATCAAAGGTTTGTTCATACATATGCATTTCATGCCATTATTTCCAGTTCATTATGTGTAGTGGTTCTGTCTTGTCAAATATTCTCGCTGTTGTCACGCAAGCTAGGCACACACTTTAAGACAACCCATATGGGCTTTCTGACAGTTTTTCCCTAAGAGTGCTTTTCAACCCTAGATCTTTTCTGATTGCTTTTTCACATGACACGTGGCTTTTCTAGCCTCTTTCTTTTTTTTTGAAACATCAGCCCACTATAAAAGCACAATCTAGGGTTTCATTTCAATTTTGCTATGAGAGTTTATTTTCTTAAAAGGGTTGATTTTAGCTTGGAGCTACCCTTTGGTTCTTACTTGAAAACCCTAGCCACAAAATCATTCGTGCACTAAACACCCACATCATCGCATATTAGGGTAGCATTGCTTTTTTAATCATGATCTTTGTTTCAGGTCAAGTTTTTCCTAAGTTTCAAATCTTTGAACTGACCTTTTTTTGGATTCGCGTTAGTTTCATCTTTCAAGTGTTTGACTGGTGAAACTGATTAGACATCAAATCCAAATTTGCATGAACTTCATCATAATATCATTTGCATAAGTTGATTGGATTTCAGTG